ACACTGTTTTTACCCTAAGTAACACTCATCCTGTCATTCTGAAGTAGAGGAACTTTATAGATCAACACCAGACTAATTGTTTATTATCCATCCATACTGTTTGAAAGTGCAAATCACATCATTTTTTGAGTAAAATGCAGGACCTGCCCATGACTCAATCTTCCTTCCCTGAGTCGTAGAAGCAAAGCTCACACCAGTTAACAAGGTGGTAAAACACCAGAAACTTCTAAGGCACTTTTATGTCCCAGCAGAGCCACAGTGGAGGCTGAGTGGTGTTTACCAGGCAGACAAGTAAGCGCACTCTGGTCACTAACCACCATTTAACTTTTCTTGAAGAACAAAAGGGTTATCTTCCCTCTGGAAGTCTGCCATTAAGAAACGCTGAGTGAGAACAAGACGTAGCTTTGAGCAATGCTTGCCATTTCCTGATTTTTCAGAACAATCTTGCCCTCGAGGAAGAGATCTGGGACTCTCAATCCCCAGGCCCTGCCCACGCTGCAAGCTGCTTGCTGGGCCTGCTCCACAGGCCGAGTGGGCGCTGGCGCGGGAGGGCCCGGCGGCGGCAGTGATGTCAACAGGGGCTTACAAAAGAGTTTCAGGTGAGGAAATCACTAGAAGGTGATGCGGGCAACAGCCGGCTCCTTTTTCTTTTTCTTCCTGCAAATTAGCTTCTGATGACTGGTGAGAAGGCATTTTACGGATAACACACCATTTGGGCCATTTTAACTTTGTGTTTCACTGTTCCTAAATTACAAGTGGCTTTTCAGGAAGGCCTATTTACTTTTCCACAAAATAATTACTCGGTCTCTTAATCTGTGTATAATGCTTAAGAAAAACGGGTTTTTTAAACTGACCATTTCAAAACATGAATAAATCTACCTAAAAACTGCCTTTCTGATATTTGTTAAGACAGAGAGGGTTGGTGCATATTCACCAAGAGGGAGAGAACCTCCACGTTCCTTCGGGAGGTGAGCCTGTCTCACGGCCGTCCGAGGAGATGAGGGCCATAGACTGACCCTCTCCTTGGGCACCTGCCCTGAGCCCAGGCCCCCTTCTCACGGTTACTACCACCCCAGGTCCTTTCATCAGGCATTCCTACTTCATTTCCACAATTACATTCTGATCTCAACTGTCTACTTTTGCAGGATCCACTGGAGAGTCTGTGAAAGTACAATTAAAGATATCTCGGTTTTATCATGAGCCAGGATTAATGGGTTTAAAAGCTGACAATTAAAATGTGGTCACTTATTACAATCCGACGGAGGCAGGTCTTGAAGGACACACCCCAACCGATACTCCTGGGGCAGGGAGGCGCGCGCCGGCAGCGTCCACCAGGCTCCCCAGCACCATGACTCACCTCCCAGCCCGCCCTCCCGCCCCCGGATGCCCGCAGTCCAGATGGACGGGAAGAGCTGGAGCACAGCTTCCCTCAGAACCTGCCAAACTGGCCCAAAAGCCTGCTGGGCGCGGCTCCAGAGGGCCCATCCAATCCTGGGATGGGCACAGGGAGAGGGGACAAGAGGGGGCCTTTTTCACAGAAACTCCCAGGTAAATTAGGAGAAATCAGGAAGGCGATGAACCAGGAGCCTCCAGCCCCCCTGCTAGCTACTGGTGTCCCTGTGTGTGATCCCAGCAATTACTCGGGCGTGCCCAGGGAGTGAGAGAACCCAACCTCTCTGAGATCGAAGGACACGCTGGAACCCAGGGAGTTTCTGAGGACAGACACTGGCCCCTGCCACAGTCACTGCTCTCTGGTCCTTTACGCTCAGTGAGTCGCTCAAAATGAATCCCAGCTCAGAAAGGTCAGTGTTCTTAACACCCACCTTTACACCCTCCCGACAACCCCAGACAGAAGCTGTGCTTCCCAGACACATGGTGGGGCCCTACAAGACCCCCCCAGTGAGACCCCCAAAGAAGGGGCTCAGCTCCACCCTCTCTGCAACAAATAGTCTGCAAAGCCACGCTAACTCCAACGCGGGCAGACTGACCCGGGCAGACTGACCGGTGCAGTCACTGGTCCCTTCAAAGCCCTCTGCCGAGTGTCACCTACCAGGAAGTGAGTCGAGAGACTGGGACCCTCTCATGGTGCAGAGCCAGCTCACTGGACCCCAAGCCTGTCTTTCCTTTTCTAAATAACGGATGGTGACCCTGGAGTAAGATATGCTGGTGCCCCTCTGCCTCCAAACATTTAGAGGCTTTGTATAGGAAGCACACTCCGGAGAAAAGAGCTCACTGGTCACTGTGCAGGCCACCGGCAGGCTGGTCCAAGCGTCCAGGGGCCTGTGACCTGCCCATACCTGGGACCCACAGACTCAGGCTGACCCCCAACTTCTACACCCATGCCACGCGAAGGCCAGGCTTAACATTTATCAACGTCTTCCCATTTGTTGACATTTTGCTTCATAATATCAGAGACCAGTAGCAACAATAAGCTCTGAAGTTGCATAAAGCAAACTTGCCTGTGGCTAGAAAAGCCTCCCTTCCAAAAGCCCAGAGAGCCCTGGCCGAGAACCCTGGGCCCACACGTTAGGGTCGGGACCCCATGGTGCCATAAGAAGTTTTCCCTGAAGTACAGAATGGTGTGCGTGATGGCCACTCATCCTTCTGTATGGCTCTGGACATGGAGAGCTCCTGCTTTCCAGGTGAGCAAAAGCCTCACTCCGGTCCCATTTCCTTTGGCAACCATTTAGCCCTGGGCCCTGCTTTCTCCCATCAGGCTGGACCAAAGAGGGTCCCTGGAGAAAGCAGGGACACAGATTCCTGTGAAGCTTACAGCTCTTAGATAAATGTTAAAGTGAAAAACACGTGTGTTAGGATTGTTTGCACTCTGAAATGGGAACAACCACATATGGAGCCAGATCCCCTTGAAGTGATGCGTGTCTGCTGCCCAGCAGACTGTCGGGACCTGGCAAAGAGGCAGGCCGCGCCCTCGTGCAGAGCTGGGCCTCGGCGTCCGCCTCCAGCACACGCCTGACCCAGCACCTGTCTGCTGCGAGACTCTGGGCAAGTGTCCTGAGCACTGTCCCTTGCTCGTCCTCGATGAAATGGGAAGAACCAGAGCCCCTACCCAGACCTCACAGCACAAGACAGTACCAACCTAAACAAGTTTGACTGACCGTGACTGACGTCAACAATGAGTACGTTTTTTGCTTTCATTCTCTAGTTACAGAAGAACTTCCAAAAAGTTGAGGGGCAAGAAAGCGGCAGGCAGTGCCTTCCCTCAAGCCAGTTTCCAGTGCAGTGGAGAGCAAGGGCAGCAGGTGGCCAGTGGGGGACAAGGCGCAGGCAGGACCCAGGAGCTGGCAGAGTCTCCCCAAGCAGCCTGGCCCTCGCTGCCCCCTGAGGATCCACCACCAGCCGCGGGCATGGGCGAGTGAGGGACGCCAGTGCAGGCAGCCTCCCTCTGCCCCCTGGGCCTCCTGGCCTCAGGCCAGCTGTTCTGCAGGACAACATCTCTGTAGACCACAGCCCTCTTGCTCCGCCCTGCACTTCCCCAGCTAGGAGGAGCCAGGTCTCTTTATGACTTCCTCGGAAGCACTTTATCTCCCTCAACAGGGATCAGAATCCTCAGGCTCCTCTGGAGGCTTCACTTTGATGTGAGAGTCAAGATTGAGCGATGGAGGCTCCAGCCGCACATCACAGACGGTAAACAGGCCTGAGGCCCCTTTCCTGGCCCTCAAATCCTGGAGACAGGGGACACCAGTGAGAACAGAGTGATGCTCCAGTCCCCAATCCCTCTGCACCCACACGGAGGAGCTGCAGGAGCCGAGACCCTGGCTGACCTCTGAGCTTGCTGCCTGCTGGGCAGGCTGGCAGCTCCTGTGGGTGCCCAGGGACGCCCAAGGCAGATGTTAAGACCTGCAGGGTCTCACGCACAAACCTCAGGGCGGCATCTCCTCAAGAGCTGTGGGAAGGAGCTTCCACGACCCGAGCACCATTCTGAAATCCGTTTCCTAGTAAAAGTTGCCAGGTAAGTATTTCACCTGTGACTAACACAGAGGCTGCCACCGCGCTCAGTGCCCCTCCCCGGCTACTTAAACCACAAGAAGTGGAGACCTGACATTCTTCAAATCAAAGAAACTTATTTCAGTCCAAAGACAGAGTAACAAATCAGAGTACAAAAATTAACTTAAAAATCCACTCTACTAGGAACACATCTGTTTTGCACTTTTCCCAAGCAAAAAAACATCAGATCAGGAAAGTGGGACATGACGTCACAGGTGCTGAGACACCTTCCGGAGGCTCAGCTAGGCACACACAGCAGAAGTCCAAGGGCCGAGGAGCCTGGACGTGCGCTCAGGAGCCCGGGCATGCTGCAGTCCACACAGGGTTCTGGTGGGGTCACGCGCCAGCCGGTTTTAGTCCTTTCACCAGGAAACCAGAGAAAATATATTGTCCCTACCTCACAACCGAGTGCTGATTTTTGTTCCAAAGGCACTGACGATGAAGCATGCTAATAAATGTTGCCTCAAGTGAATTTCAAGGGCAAGTCCATAAAAATTTGAAAATTAAGGCTGGACAAAACGCAGCCCCCTCAATAAAAGCAGCTTCTTCTTGCCGTGCTGCTGAGGCTTCCCCAGGAACTCCTTCCAAGGTGAAGGCTATGGCAGTGAAGTTCCAGAATGTCTCTCAATAGAACACACACATACACACTCAGAAACACAGCTGACCTGATCGAGTCACGAGCTCCCCTCCTGTGCTTCTTCCACACCATCCAAAACACCAATCCCCTTTATCTAAGGATCTGCTAGCCACAGGCCAGCCAAAGCCTCTAGAACATTCCTCCTAAACACTTACCCACAAAAAAGGAACTCCACTCTTGAGCTGCTTCTTTTCTATAGATCACCCTTAAAATTATATCATCAGCTTACTAATACCTATTTCTTATGGGAAAAGTGCCCCACTGGCTGCTTCTCGTGCACAGTGCTGTCAGGAGGCTATGATCCCAGGGAAAACCCCAGCGGCGCATCTGACCCCACCACAACTCTGCCAGACTTTACCTGGAAATGGCGGCCACGAAGGGCTGCAGCTCCTGGGGCTCGTAGGCACGCGCAAAGGCCCAGCACACGTAGCAGGCGGCGTCTCTAACGTTGGTGCCCACGCTGCAGGAACCCCGCTTCTCCTCATAGGTCAGCGCCTTCAGGATCACAGGGACAACTGGGCACAGGAGACAGAGACAGTGAGTACGGGCACCAGAGGCAGGCGCGGTCCAACCCAAAGCCATCTGGTCAGAAAGCAAGCGTTTGGAAGGAAAAGAGAAGTCCACCAGCTCAAATCAGGTGGAAACGTTTTTTAAAAGCTGCCCACAATGACACGAACAAGTGAAAGTGGGTTCAGAACGGCACAGAGATGCCTGGGTTCTGCTGGCCACGGGGACCACAGAAGTGAGACCACTTCTCCTTCTGGCCAGAAGTTAGCGCCTAATGAGCAACCTCGGGGAGGAGAACCCCGGGGTGCAGGGGTCTTAAGTCACTCCGTTTCAGAATCGAGAACCAGGATGACAAAGTAAATCAAGCCCAGGGCTACCTCTGTGTTAACTTTAGGAATAATCAAGATAGATTTAATTATCTAAAATATCTGTAATATATGAAATAATTTGAAGTCCATAACAGATTATTTTTCTGTTTCCATTAAAATGAGTAATTCAATACTGCACATGTGATTTCTGATGTAAAAATACTAGAGAATTTTAAGATACATGGTAAAAGTATTGGAATGTTTAAATAAAGGAGCTAAAATTTTTGCATATTTACCTGTTATATTTGTTAGATTCATATATTTCAAGTACTTGGGAAGAGTCTGTTTATTAAGATATGTAAACTACTTCAAAAGAAAGTAAAGTATGTTGCATTCATGCATAGGACTTAAAAAATATAAGAGAATTTAATGTTATGAATGAGCCAATTTTTTAAAAGCCTCTTAAAATGATTATAATAAGAAAATGTGATAGAAAAAAAGCCTAAGAAAAAACTTTAATTTGCAATTCAAAGACAGAATATTAATTTTTTTTAGAAGTCACACTAAATGGGATTTTCTGAAAGGCCATGCTCTAAGTCCCAATTCACTGATCCAAACCAACAACGATGCTGCCATAAAGCCCATTGACAGCTCACCCTGGTGTTTAGAAAGCACTGAAAGTAGAAACCAGTGGGCATCTGTTCCCAGAGGAGACGGAGTGACCGCATGTCCCCGCTGCCAGGCACTGGTGGCGCTTGAGCGAACAACATCCGACCCCGGCCACCGCAGGACCGACAGCAGAAGGGCGGGGGACACGGCCCACACCCTGAGGGGCGATCAGCTGCAGGAGGCCGGAGGGGGGAGCGTGTCATTCTATCAGCGCACACGGCCAGAGCTTCCTGTGTTCCAGCAGCCTCACACCTCAAGTCACGCGTCGCTGACGCAGTGGTGTCCCACCCCGGGGCAGGTGCTTGCTGCAGACGAGCACCACACATTTGTGCAGTCAACGGGTACGGGGACAACGACAGGGATCACCCACTGACAGAAGAAAGAATGAAGCTAAAAGCCAGCGCACCATGTGACCCAAAGGCAGGACAAGAGGGGACCAGCCTCAGCCCCTTGCGCACATGTGTGCCAGGGCCCGCCCAGGATTCGGGCGCCGTCACGAGCCCCTCACTGTACACCTCCCACCGTCCCGTCTAACAAGAAGACTAGCAAGGTGACATGCACATGGTCTGAGAAGATGCTCCAGGTCGGGGTTTAAGAAAAATGAAGCAGCAATTTCCTGAACATGTAACTATCATCCTAGAAATTATCTTCCAGGAAAAGGGACCTAGAAATAGCCTTGGGCAAAAAATCAAAAGAAACAACAGTAGGACTGTGAATATCAAACACAAATTTCCCCTCTGCCTTTCTGCATCTAAGGATGTTTGATTAACAAAAATTTACTTAAAATTACGTAAGTATACTCCAGAATAAATTAACAAACAAAAAGCTCAAACACATGGTGTTAGCATTTACACCCCTCTCAGCCAGGAGAGAAGATGGGACGAATCAAGGGCACCTGCACTAGCTGTCCCATGGAGCACAGGGTGCCCGGGCACCAACACCGAGCACGCCAAGGACCCCAAACCTGGAGCCCACCCTCCTGCCGAGTTCTCATTTCCTCAAGCGAGTGGCAACAGGACAGCCATGGGACGTGCCCCTCAAATGCCACAACGGCAGAAAACTGGGCCGTGTGTCCCACCTCAGTCAGAGGCCACACACACCATTTTCTGGGGGCACAGCTCAGGGCATGGTGGTCATCCCACAGCCGCCCCTCCTCACATCCCCGTCAAGCCGAGGCCCACCCTGCCCACAGCAGCCACACCTCTAGTGAGGACCCCGCCACTCCTCACCCCATTCTTGCCCAGCCCCTCCCCATCACTGCCACACCACCACCCTCTCTCCTCACTTCAGAGCACAGCAGGCTGCCCAAGTGGCTCCCGGGGCTCCCTCTCAAGAGGTCCCAGCACCCCCATGCCTTGCATCTCTCTAGGCCACACTGGAGTGCTGCCTCTCCCCCCTGCAAAGACCCTGGAGCCTTCTCCATGCCAGGCAAACTTTGCTGAGCAGGCTCTGCCTCCATCTCAGCACACCAGAAACTAAGCTCGGTTTTCTGAAAGAACACCCACCAGTCCTCATGAATGTCTAATGAAGATTACCGTTAAGACTCACGGAGCATGTGCAAGTGCCAAAGCAAACGAGAGAGCACTATCACAGCTGCTGTAGATAAAGCAGTTCAATCCAGTTAGTGATTTTTAAATTATTATCTTGAACTAAACCAACTCTGTAATGTTTAAAATGGGTCTTCAGTGCTTCTGCCTGGAAAAATTCCAGGTCACCTGGAACTACTCCTAGTTTTCTAGTGTCATTCACATTCACTTTCCACGCTAACAGGACAGCCCATTCGCGGTCCAACGGACATCAAAACTAATAGGCTGTGGCACCTTCAGGAGGAAAGCACCACATAAAGGCAGTATGACTGCCACACCAGGGTCCCTAAGACCGTCACTGTAGCTCAGCCACCCAGACAGCTCCGGGTAAGGCCGTTCAGCAATTCTATAGCCTGGGGGGAATCTGGATGCTAACTGCTGAGTCCCAATTTACCGGTCCACTGGACAAAATCAATTTCAAGACAGACAACTAGGAGTGACAGTGGCCAGTGCTGTGGATATTGACTTCAGGACTGCTTAGTGCCACCTGCAAGAAGCCCACCTCCACATGGACACAACACCCACCCCAGGTCTGCTCGACCTTGAGGTCACTCCCATCACACCCCCAGGTCTGACCCCAAGTGAGAGTGGGATGGTTCTCCAAAGCGTCACTTTGTTGACCAGTGAGGTCAGTCAGTATCCCACTAATGGGCCTCCACCACAGCTTGCACCTAGACCATGTCACGGTCTGACCAACATTGTTGGGCAAATCGCCAGCCCAGTTAGCGGGTCCAAACTTGGTCCACCTGGCCCACTGTCTCCAGGAGTGGGGAAAGGTCAGCCTGAGTGCTGGCACTCAGGCTCAGCCCTACAGGACAGGGATAGCAGACCAGTGGGGAACGCAGGCCACAGTGACTGCCCCCACACATACACACACACCCTGACTTTATCCCCAGCACCCACACGCCCACGTGCCGTGTCTGAGGACATGCAGGTACTGGACTCTGTCCTCCCGCAGAAACAGGTCAGAGAAGTAGAGGCCCATGCTGCCCGGGCCTTGAGGGGCCTCCCACCAGCAGCACCCACCCGTGTGGACACCTAGCCAAGCTCCACCCAAGTCCTTGGCACAGATGTCTTCGAAGTCTTGAATCTGTCATTCTGCTCAGAAGCCTCTGACGAGCCCTCCCTAACACCGGCAACAGACATCAGCGGCTCACCCTCCAGTGCAGGTGAAGAAGTGGCCGCCAGCAACCAACAAGGGCCTCGATGCTGGACAAGGGCCCACAGAGAAGACGGTGGGGACATTCCCCTCATGATCGCTGGAAGGGGAATCCGATTTGCAGAAAGTAAAACAGTTCAGAAGAGAAACAGTCAGACAGTGGATTTCTTTAACAAGAAAATTGAAAATGTGGTCCTGTCAGCTCCGATTCATCCCAAGGTGGCACCAAGAGCAGCGACCTCGGGGTGCAGGGGGCTGGGCAGGGTCGCTGTGGCCGCCAGACTCCGGGCACCCTCCAGCCTCGTGTGTAGGAGACAGGCCAACCTCAGCAGCCACGCGGGGCACCCAAACAAGCTCCCCCAAAGCCTGGGGGGACGTGGGGGTATATGGAATAGAAACAGTCATTAACCCAAACTTGTAAGAAGTCATTATCAGAGAAAAAGTTCAGAATCTAACCACTCTTTCTAGATTCAGTAGGTTTAAAATAAGGAAACTCTTCAATAGCTTTGAACAAAAACCTTTCTCATGGTTCCAATTACACACTGCAAATGCATGTCAAATATATAAGATTCCCCAGAGGGCTTCCTTTTGGCAACCCAGAGTCTTGCAATGTAATTTAAATACCCTTCTCTCTAGACAGCATGTCATTTGTCTAACACCAACCGCCTAAGGACAAGGCAGCCTCCAGGTGAGAGAAACAACTTAACCCCCAGCGTTCCACGGCCCCACTGCGGGGCCTGCACAGTGTGCACCCAGGGGGGCAGGAGGGACCGGGGCCTTCCTTGCAGAAGGAGAAACCATTCATCCATAAAAGAAACCATCACACAACCAGCACAGAAGTTACATCTTCTGGTAAGTCACAAATTACACTAATTTAAAAAGCAAACTCCTCACTGAAGGCGTTCGCTGCATGGAGCCGAGTGTCCAGGAGGCACTGGGGTGACTCCTCCCAGGGATACAGCAGGCCGTGCCGCCCCATCACACACCGCGGCTGCATGCAGAGGCTCGCGCAGACCCAGGGGGAGCACGGTCTCCCCAGCACCACAGACTCCCACTTCAGCCATCAGTACAGCCACCATACCTTCCTCAGAACTGCAGTCCAACTCGCTCAGAAAAAAGGCCAGTGCTGAATGTGCTAGGGGGCAAGAGGAAACGACGGACAGAATACCTGGTTCCACAGACATTGTGGTTTCCAGTTCCCACAGGACATTTCTGAAAAACTGCCCCAAAGGCCTTGGCTGGCCTGCAGGCAGCACTGCCCACTCCACACAGAGGGCAAGTAAGGC